TAGAGGAGTAACTAGAGCATCAATCGCAAGCTGGTCATCAGCTTTTGCGAACATAAGTCGTATCGCAACTCTGTGACTGATAAATAGTTGCCCGAGAAGTAGAGAAGAGAAAAGAGTCAGATCAAAGAAAGAACTCCTCATGTGGTCGATAATATGTTGCAGTTACACAAGGTGATCGTTACAGGATTATTTACAACGATAGGAAAATGCAACATTGCTGATGAATGCTACAAAGAAAACCGTATGAATCAAAACAGGGACTTATGAGGAACAGAGACTCGTGTGCAAGGACACACTTCCAGGGCCAGACGACATCGTTGACTTCCATGGATTCGAAGGCACGAGGCATTCATTTTCCACACTTCACTGATAAAAAGACACGGGCTCTCAACGCTTGAAGAGTAGGACGTGAACTCGCTTCAGATCAGCCTAGTCAGACATGGTAGCAACTGCTAAGCAAAAACTGCTCTTCTAGCGATTCTTCAGCGTTGCAATTGGAAAAACGATGTGACGGCAAGACATTGTCTCATAAGGTCTATCTATCATGAATTGAAAGCTAACAATATGTATTGATGAGAAATTCCTATCAATGCGTGCTTCAGCCGAAAACATTGTCATCTTTTGGAATAGTATCCGCCAACAAAGCACAGATGACACTCAAGAAATTTGAAGCTAATGAGGCAGGAATTAAAAAGTGAAGTAACTACACGAGAATATAAGCAAGTTCTCACGTAACAATAATTGAAATGAAAGGTTTTTGATGGCCTAGGTCAAGATATGCGTGTAAATAGCACTTTTGCATGTAGGACTGATTTGAAGGGCCAACTTTGCAGAAATAGGCATAGGTCGCGTTGGAACCCCAGAAAGAAGCCACCTGACGGACCTGGCTCCCACTGTTCGACTCCGTTGTCCCTTTAAAACAGTGTTCTGCTATAGAGACATGAGACGTACACTTGAACTACGAACACATCGAGATTTTACACACTGTCTAGGAAGCCCGTGAGCTGTTTTCTGAAATATATCCGATCGAAGCAAATAAGTCCAATGAATCAGCTTACACTATCTAAAGAATTGCGTATATTTCATACTTAACGAGCACAAGGTTGTTGAAAGACGATTTATTGAATACAGTGTCAATGATTACTGCAGTTGGCTGACGTTTCAGCAGTTTCATCTTCTCTCAAGAACACTTCAATCCGGCTTCTTCAAAGCCTGAATGAGCCAAATTCACGTGCAATCCAAATAGTTAGACACTTTTATAACCTTGAAATATCTTGTCTATTCGAAACCTTTGGAGAATTTCGATACAGCACCTATGAGCCGGTGATCTTTTCAAAATAGTTGATTACAGTTGAATGAGGTTATCAAGTAGGGTGAGAAAGGATTCAAGACCACCCTCCAACATGTGTTGACGAATTTGTTGCTTAGATGAGCAGTTTTTTATCAATCTCAACTGAAAATGATTGCATGCTCTAAAGTTATATTCGTAAACGTCACAATGCTTGAACAAAACCATTATCATGGTCGAAGACAGCAAGAGAATGGAACGAATGAGAAATTTCTACGAGACTGCGCTATCCAACTATCCCAAATATCCTAGTATATCTCAACAAAACATGCTGTTTTTTCCAAAACGAGGAATTTTTTTTGCGTTTGTCAAACGTTAATGCTTTTATTAGTATGAAAAAAATAGACTCATTTGAGTAACATCAACACGGTGACGTGTTGTTAGCAGACGGCAGGAGTAGTGTTCCTCAATGATGGCGGCAACATCGTGTGTATTTAGCTTTTCTGCTACTCATAGCACTTTTTGTCTACAAGAAGAACTATTCCGTTGACAAAAATCGTTATGAGATCTTCGCTACCAAACACTTTCTCCTAATTCCTAACCTATTCACTGTAAAGAGTAGGTCGCTCAACATTGTATGTGGTAGGCAGCATGTAAGCAGATTTCACTCTAACAATCGGGCTTCATCGATTTCGATCCAGCTGGGTTTTCTTGGCAGTCGATGAAGAAAAATCTGCGTCACGATTTTTGACTAGGCCAAAAGTCTGCGTTAATGTTTTGCTTTTTACGAGCAACTTGTGAAAATTAGTACGATACGGAAAGCTTGTCTAATTTGACAATTATTAAGTGCTTTAGAAGATATTCATGTGAAAGTAAATGATCAGCAAAGCACAAGAAAGAAGCCATTCACTACGGTACAAAACTATTCTTCCACTTCATTGCTTTGTTTGTCCACCTATGACAACGATCATTATCTTACTTGTTGTCACCTTACAACGACTTCACATAACTTCTCATCATATCATTGTGTTATTGATGGCTAACGTTTAATATAAATGATTGTTATGATCAACGGTATACAGCGCTCTCTCTCTATCAGCTCCAACGGAATGATTTACTACAGGAGTGTTTATTGTTTGTCTAGTAGGGACTAGTCTAACGATCTCATTCTCTTGTCTCTACGTATTTGGTCTTTTATCGTTGCCGATGTCTCGACCTCAGGATGATCGTTTACTCCTTGCACACATGATAATCATGTGCACTTGCAAAATAAAATTTTGCAGATGTTTTCATTCGAACGTAACAAAGATCATCGTCTTCACTGTTCACTATAATTATTTTTTATATGGCTCCTGAGCGGAGGGCGCAGTGGTTAGTGATGCAGCGCATCAGAAGCAACGTGATAAACAAGACGATGGTTCGATTTTCTTATTTAACATCCCCTTGCAATCAATCAACAATTGCCTTAGCTTCATATTAAGGGGCATTTACCTTTATATTCATACGTTCATAAGGATGGCGAGTTCTTTGAACAGCAGTTGAAGCCACACGTGAACACTCGAAGAGCTTCGTGGAGGATGGACGCTAGGAAAGCGGATCGAGCGTAACAAATACGGGGATCCGTACAGTAAACTGTGATGAGTGGTCGTTTGAAAAATATACTTCATGAACTCTATGTATTATCTTAATATGTCTTCAGGAAAACCTAATGATAACAAAAATCTCCTTCAGCTTACATGACACAAACAGCATATACGCTTACTGCACACATGCAGACACAGACACAGACACATACACATACACACACACACACTCACAACACACACACACTCACAACACGCACATACAGACACGCGCGCAGTGTTGACATGTGCACGCACTCGAGCATGTGTCCATGCACACACGCACACACACACACACACGCACTCACATACACACGCACGCACGCGCACACAAACATAGACGCAGACACGCGCACATGTTTACATATATCCATAAATACGTACATACGCGCATACACCGATACGTACATACATTCGTATACATACATACATACATTATATACGTTACATACATATATATATATACATGCATACATACCTACATATAGACGTATATGCATACATACAAAGATAATACGCATGTACATGCATGCATACATACGCACACTTACATGCATACAGACGTATATGCATACATACAGACGTATATGCATACATTCATGCATACATACATACATACATGCATACTGCACATGGGCATCCATACATACATACATACGTACATTCATACACACATATATGCATACATACACACGAACATACATGTATGCATACATACATACATACATACATACATAGCTACACGCATACATGAAGCATGCTCTATAATTTTAGTCTTTCCAATCTACGTGAGTTTGTCGAATAAGTACTCTAATTAGAAAAGAGTTATGATATCAGCGAGATTTCCAAAATTTATATTGACATTGTGCGCTGATAAAAACTGAAGTCATTTCTAGTTCGCGAAATTTGTTTCCATTGATCTTTGACGCTTCTCTGTCATCTGATTTATGGCTTACGCGTTTTCGCTACGAGATTTCTCGTTCTTTTTTTTTTTCTTCTTCTTTTACTTTTCACGCACTACGAGTATTGTCTAACAGCGCTGGTGCTTATCAAACTTAGCATTAACAAATCTATTGAATTTTATCGATTACTCCTCTTTAGATCTTTTAATAATGTGAATAAACTGTGTTGTCAAAATTTTCTATACGTACTGATGTCGATCTATTCACTCATGTTCGTGTTTGGTCGCCTCATTTGTTTTTTATTGCCCTCATAAAAGCGTGAATTGAGCATTGGAAAATGAAGGTAGTAAGAATGGGCCTGAATGCATTTTTTTTCTGCCAAACGCCTTCAAGAACACCATCAGTCCACGATTCAATATCTTCGGATTATTAACTCTTTACCAAATTAGTTTTTTGAATAAAAATAGAGTCTGAGTAAACATCAATGAAAGAGAACTTGCTTATCAACTCATTGTTCATAAGACGACTGGACTTTCCTCAATAATCGTTTATACTTGCAATATTTCCCACTAGCTACTAACCCTTGTCATGTCATTCCACGGTGGTGATCTAGTTCTCTTCAAATGGCATTTATTGAGTTTAGCTCGTCATTCCCTTGTAGATACTAGTCGGCATAAGATTCAATTGCGTTTGTCGATCTTATACATCATCTTCATTGTGGACGATTGTGTTCTCGCGGTCTCAAGGCTGTTGCTGCCATCATCATCTTCTCGTAAGCCCATTCTCATTACATAATGGTTCCATCAGTAATCGCTTTCATGGGATATTTTTCATGATCTCAAAGTCAACATAACCTTGGAGGACCTTAACTATCTAGACTACACCGGTATCGTCTGTGTTGGCTGAATATTAGAATCCATCCTGTCAGCACTCCGCCGTGTCAGCCTACGTTTGGACTGCTTCTCAGGGCGCTAGGAATGCTGATAGCTCAAAATGATTTGTGAGGAGGACTGAATCTTTTAGTCGACAGGTGACTTCTCGGAATAACACTCCATATAGGCAATTTCTTCTGGAAGTGATTTTCAAAATCAATTGAACTTTTCCAATTGTTTTCACCACTCTCATAGGCGGCGCGTGACCATGTTATAGCTATATATCCAAGGCAGCTAAGCGAAATTCAAAACTTTGAACCTCAGGTAGGAGTTGAACCAGCGTTTCACATCTATGCCAGGTGTGCGTGCTGTCACTACACCACCGAGGTTTTTCGCTCGGCTACTACTCTTCAAACTACCAGACTAAGATATAAACGTTCTAGGTATACACATGAACTTCCTTGCAACTAAATTTCTTCTCTTTTTTTTTGCCCTCTCTTTGCTGAGGCCTTTAAGCATCGTCTCTATCACATTAGTACTTGTGGAGAAAACTGTTTTTAATACAACAATCAATTGGTTGGAAAAGTGGCAATCATGCGTTTTGCGTTTTACATCACATCGAGCGATTTCGTCATTCGCTGCAATGCGACCAGGATCGACAGGAATAGCTCGATCAACACGGTGCTATACTGTTTGGACCACTTTGTCGATGGGATTATTATTAGGTTCCAATGACGAAGCTATACTTTCGTGCCGTAGTTCCCATTGCTGTCTGTCAGCTGCTATTCCTATGTAGGACAGAAGTAATCCGATTTGAGAGTGCTGGTAAGGCTAAAACTTTCTTTCTGAGGCTATTCTTTTTTTCTCATCAGTACTTGCGAAAACGGCGGAGGTGCTGTCGCCGGCAGACTGTGAGATTCCAATCATCGTTTGGACCGAATTTCGTACCACAGAATTCTCATTAAAAATCCTACTTGTTCGATTTGTTGATACCGTCTATGCTTGATATCCGCAATGGGGTAATTTTCATGAAGAGGAGAGGGAGAGAGAGAGAGAGGGAGAGCTAATAAAATAGCATGGAAGTCAATAATGTAAGCTACCTGCTATCTTGTATTATTGATTATATGGACCATCGGCATCGTGTGGATCTTTACATTTACGCTCATAATTTCATCTTCTTAAAACATTTTTTTCGTTCACATGTGCACAACAGTTCAGAGCCACATCTTGATAAATCAAATGTCGCCGCATGAAACACACATGTTTTTTTCGCAGCCAAGCACCTGGCGCTGCCATCAAGAGAAATTGGCGGGCGTGTGTATTTTGTATCTGTCCGATTGTGTATTCACATATGCAATGTGTATCAGTGTATTGATGCGCTTCACTCTCTTGCTTGTTTGTGCGTATTTCACAGAAGAAGCGATTAATAATCGTTTCATAGCGATAACACAGACATGAAGTGCATAATAGAAAAAAAAAACGCGAAGCTTCCGCGGTTTCACGTATCGAGTGCTTCATTGTTCCTACGCAATTTGTAGTTGAATAGTTGTTTTTTTTTTTGAACTTCAGCGATTACATTTCTTCATAGTGATGCGGCATGTTGTGTTCTATTTGTGATAGTTTATTTCAAATCCTTATAAGGTTTCTGATAATTCTTTGAAAATATTGTTGCTAAACAACTAGCCTTTCACCTGGTACACTACGGGTAGAATGAAAAGCTTTGCCAGCACATTGTATAATGATTGCTACTACCAGTTCACATACCCAATTGTAATGTTCAGATGGCTGCAAGACTCTATAAGATGAGTGTTTCTCTATTTATTGATGACAGATTATGGAATGGATGTTTTGTGACTGAAGTGTGAAGAAAGAACCCGTTCCTCTTATGATATAGTATTAGAAACAACTTGTTGTGAAAAATTTAGGATGAAACATACCAGTCGAAACGATGCCTTCTTCTATGCATGTGCTATCAATTACTATTAAAATTACTAATACTTGTATTTCTTCGTTATTATTCGAGCCAATATGTCATGTGGTCTGGTAAGGGCTCTTGTACAACTCAATACACGTGTTACGACCTTACATTCTCTTAGTCGGGAAGAACCCGTCGTCTTTCAATCTTTTTATTAGCCGATCCTCCCGAGAGCCTGCTCTCCCTGTAGAGAGGTATCGCAGACGAACGATTCACACTGTATGTCCAAGTGAAAATATCACCGAACTTACAGTGTTTTACACTCGATTGCTCTTTGACTGACATTCTCATAGTATTATACCTTTGTTTCGAATGTTTTTTTTTTTTGAAAACCGCGCTCATATTTCAGTAGATCCCTTCATTATTATATGAGCCAACATGTCATGTGGGTCTGATAGGGGGCGCTCTACAAACATATAGTATTGTTACGACTTTTCCATCTGGAACAATGCATCTAATTATTTATATTCACCACTATAACGTCATCATAACGATTCACTGTGAATAGGGGACGATGCTCGATCAATGTCCTGACTATTCATTATTGTGCAGAGAGGGGGATTGATTCCATTGCACATTGTAGTGTCATAATGATATGTTCCAATTCATATTCGATTCATTTCTAACATCCGCTTTTCTTCTCTTCACCTTTATTTTTATTTTTATTTTCTTTATTTAATCAGCTTCTCCATCTTTGGTTTTTGTTAATGCACATTTTTTTCACGTGGGCATCACTATCACAAATATGCTGTGAGAAGCGGATCATTATGACCTTTGGTGTCGTCCAACCATACTTCATGTCGACTCTCCCTTACTGGCTATCTCCCTTATTTCTAACGTATTTCTTTCACTCTGCATCTTTTTAACCTTGTTATTTAGTAACCTACATAATCAATAATTCCGTAATGTTATTCTAGTGCCATTTACCTGGATAGTGATTTGTTTTTGGATGAAAATAAAATAGAAACGAAGCCGGTGGTCATCATATAATCTCTGGTGTTTTTTTATTTGATGCGATTGTCGTGATTATCAATACAATAATGATGATACATTAGTTTCTATCTAACTTCACTTGCAGTTTTTTTTTTTGGTATGTTCTATGAAAAATGAGGAAATTCGTCGTTCTGATAACGACTACTGTCTATTTGATAACCTGTACGTATTACGAATTCCATGCTAAGATGGGATCGAACATGTCTACAAACAATGCGAATGCTTGATAAGGGTCAAAATGTTCAGTAATGATGAGAATTCGTTATGGTTTCAACATAACAACCACAGGTAGAAGATTGGGTCTCTTTAGATAACGGATAATAGTCGCATTTTCGTAGAATCGTAATAATCATAATTTTGATGATCGTAATTTCCTTAGATAACGGGCTTAGAAAAAAAAGTGCTGAGCAGAAGGTAGCGAAGGGGTCAGCTATTATAGTTTATCATCAGGGCGAGGTGCCGGTTCGATCCATAACGCAACGCACCTCTCCAATCCATAAGAGTGCACCTTAGCTCGGCTACCCTCGATGATTGCAGAAGTCGACTTAACCGTATTCGTACGGCATTCATGGAGAAGACGAAATCCTCAAACAGCAGCCGTAACATAATTGCTTAACGATGGTCGTATCATAGTAACGATAACGGAAATGATGAAGATGAAAGAAAATCGAGACGCATAAAACGATGTAAGCGATTCATTCGTGAGTTGATAACGATGTGCACAGTGTAAGAACTCATCAATCAACCAACTGATGTTCTATATAGGAGATTTTTACTTGTGTCTTTAATGTGAACAGCGATCAGATGAATTATTTAGCTGATGAACATTGGTCGGATTTTCTGATAAGTACACGAAAACAGCTTCTACGAGCGGGGCGAGACAAGAGTGCTGATTGATTTGTGTCATGGCCTCGGGCGGCCGGCAGGCCCGACCGGGGCCGACCGGCGTGTTTGTTAGTTGAGTCGGCGATGCCTGCGTTACTCTCCTCTAAAACTGACAACTGCCTCGCCTCATCTATCCATCCTTCCATCCATCCATCCATCCATCCAACGACGTTGTGCTTCCTTCCTCTTTTCGCCGTTCACACAAACGACACAAAAATGTTTATACATGTCCTGCTTTTCCCCCACTACACGCGTATGTGTTCATTTTATCTTTGTTGTTTTTTTCCCCCACCTTCTAATCGCGGACGCGTCATCGGGACCCCCTTATCAAGGTCATAATATTGTTTCATTCACTGCTAGACACCCAAGAAGAAAGAATATCCTACACGTATTACGGACAAATTTACTCAAATCGTCGTATCGCAATACAAACGGTACTATCACATGTTTTGCATCATTTTTGAATTCACTCAAATCTCTCACAGATCTCTATCTGTCCTTCCTTGTTACACAAAAAAAAATCTCTTTTTTTGTGGAAATAGTGTTATATTTCGACACTTCCAGCACTCTTGATTACTAATTTTGCAAAAATCTCCAACCGATTCGCAACGAGATAGTATGGCGACTATATATTTTGTTTCAAAATGTATCTCATGATTATTAGAAACGATAGTTGATAAGGCTACCATTTCAGTTTTATCTCATAAAGCTTTCCACATGAATTTCATATCCATTGAAAGACTAGCTAGCCTGTTTCTGTTCGCTTCTAATAATTAATTTTGAGTGCTTACTGTATTTTGCACTTCTGAGCCTTTGACTGACTTGTGCGACGATGCCAAATTTCTTTATGATGACCATATGGGACGACTACTGATAACTTCTCGCCATCACTATGACGGCTACTTTTACACTTTTATTTTCGAAACTTTCATAGTAAAAATCAAACCGACGCTACTGTCACCTTCCCATGAATCACTCACCTATGTAGAGGTTATGTCCATGTAGACGTACTGACTTGATTCGTGTGTCACGAAAATCTTTCCGCAATTTCGTTCACCATCTGTTACATGTTCGACTTTTATTATCATATAATTATTCTATTTTGATTCTTTTCACTCCAGAAGAGTGACGAGGAGATGGTAGGCGAAAAAGAATGGGAGACCTGCTACCACTCGACGCCTGCTGGTTATTTCACCGGCTATCGCCGTGCCGCGAGTTTTCCTTTCTTTGGAGATCACACTTTGGTACCTAGTAGTGCTTTGAAGGTACGATATGTTTCTCATAGATTTGTCTTCCTATTGACCCCTTCATTTGTTGATGCTTACCACGCGCTGACATTTGTTCCGCGATTTAACGTGACGTGTCGAGAATTTTATTTGCACTTTTGAGTGACACTAGGGAAAAAGCGTTGTGTTACGTTCTTCTTTTCCTCTGGCTTCTTCTATCAATGTAAATTTAATATCTGTAATTAGTGGATATGAATGCTTTCAGGTTCGCTCTCAGAGTGAATCAGGAGGATTGAATAAAATTGGCTTC